TCTTTTCCGAAAGGCACGGCCGTGACTCTCGATAAAGCACAACTGTGCCTCTCGTAGAAGAAAAACCGTGAATTTCGCGAAAAGGAAAAAAAGAAAACGTGTTTTTTCACGCAATAATTTTTTTTTAAAATTTTTTGATCGAAAAGCTAAGATAGACCGGGGGAAATCAAAATGTCGAAAAAATCGAAAAAAAAAACATTTAAAAAGCTGAAAACGCATATGAAAAAATAAAATAAATAAAATCCGAAGGGAGCGTCCAGAGCGCGACACATGACGAATGGCTGAGAGCGCGCCAAGTGACGCTGATCGTTGCGAGGCTCTCGAAGAAGCGCTCGTTAACTAGTTGCTCCCGGCTCAGCCTGGTGCGATGGTGCGCTGAGCGGTGGTGGACTTCAAACCCAGGCCCAGCCCCAGTCAAATGGGCGACGAAAGGAGCCCAGTGGCAAATTGAATACCACTGACGACGCCGGCCAGGATTCAGAATTTCGGAGAGCGGCGCAGAGTCGTGTGGCTGCCTGCAATCAGGTGATTCGGTAATTCCTGGACGTGCCACTGAAGAAGACCAAAGGACAAACGAATTCGGTTATGATTCAACAACCGTGACCATGAATCATGGTTCTGCAAGATGCCCTGTTGCTTAGGACATGTTTATCTCATTATCTGGACGAACCTGTCTGTTTGATCGATCGCCTTGCCGTCGGGCATTGAACACCAAAAAACTGACGCGGGTTTCAGTTAAGATGAACACACGGTAGTTAGTTGAGCTAAATAAATTCTACGGAGTAAAAGAATACGGAGTATATTAGAATTGCTCCTCGCGAACAAATCAAATAACAGTCCTCAGACAGCCTCGAGGTGAATGAATAAACACGATCGACCGTTCCTAATGCTACGAACACAAAACACAGTGCATGGGCAATTGGGGTCCAGTGGCACCTCTGATCCTAACCTACACTACACACACGAGGTCACCTCAGACGCGGCACAAAAAATGGATCCAAGGCGCCGCGCTACGACGCGAACACGAGGGCTCCGACGACGAGCATCACCAACGCCACGATCTGCCTCCGCACAGCCAACGGCCGCACGGCCGCCGCAGCCGCCGCCTTGTGATGAGGGGTCTGCTCCCTGGAAAGGAGTCGAAAACAGTTAACAAAAGACACATGAAAAAGAACCGCAAATGTGTTTACAATTACTTTTGTAATTGTGAACATTTTTCTTTTTCTCTTTTCTTTAACTAGTCAATGTATACGTGCAATGCACGTTAATTTGAAAGTATATTAAGTGGCGGATATTAACTAGGATATTATTTGCATGTTATTATGTGATTAACACTATATTTGGCATAAAATTCACAACACACTAAACGTGTTGAGCGCTCGACATTGAAGCAGTCTAGGTCGTTGAATTGACATGATTCGATGGCCGAGATTAACTGGATCTGCCTCTTGGGTCTTTTTATATTGGTATGGATGTTCTATTTCTCTTTTTTTTGAAATCGTGAACATTTTTTTGAAATCGTGAACATTTTTTGAAATCATGAACATTTTTTTTGAAATCATGAACATTTTTCTTTTTCTATTTTATTTAATGTTCTGTTTCTCTTTTTTTGAAATTGTGAACATTTTTCTGAAATCGTGAACATTTTTTGAAATCGTGAACATTTTTTGAAATTGTGAACATTTTTCTCTTTCTCTTTTCTTTAACGTTCTGTTTCTCTTTTTTTGAAATCGTGAACATTTTTTTTGAAATCATGAACATTTTTCTGAAATATTGAACAGTTTTTGAAATGATGAACAATTTTTTGAAATCATGAACATTTTTATAAACATTACTTTTGAATAGACGAACATTATGTTTGAATTTGCGAACATTTCTTGAATCCTTGAGAATTTATCATTTCCTGAAAAAATTTCAAATTGTTAATAATTTTTGAATTCACGAATAATTGGACAATTTGTAACTTTTTCTTAAATACTAATTATTTTTAAAAACAAAATAAAGCTGAAAACGGAAAAAAACTGAAAAAACAAGGGGCTCCCCGCCCCGCACATGGGCCGGCCCATGAGGGCGCGCTCCCGTGGCTTCGGGCGCGTACCGCGCTGTGTGGCTGCCTGCAATTGGGTGATTCTGCAATTCATGGACGTGCCACTGAAGACCAAAGGCGATTTGGTTATGATCTATTTCAGGAACTAGATAATACCCCGCGTATTGCTGCGGGAACTGGTTATAATATATTTGGTGAGATTTGATTTTTTTTGGACTATGGAAATTTGATTGGTAATATGAGAAGTAAAAACTAAAGATACATATGACTTATTTTATTTAATTATTGAGATTATATGTGGACATGTTGAGACAAATATATTAGTGAAATAATCCATTTGGTTATATAGGATATGATGGTGCACCGTGTGTTGCTGTGGTATTCTTAGCTGACATTAAGGGTCATATTTAAAAAAAAGGAATATAAGACCAATCTGGCACTAACAATTCCAAGAACAACGGTGTGACATGCATGGACAGAGTATATATCAACCTTCAATTTTATTGGATTATCAATGCTTGATTGCCCAGAGGTTATCTTGGTTATCTAAGAGTGTCAACCGTGAGAAAATGCACTGAGTAGGTTTGAGGAGAAAAGGGGGATTCATATTTGCAACTCGCAAGTAGATATTAGCATAGGACATTTATAAAGCTCAAAACTAAAAAAATACATGGTCAGGCATTTTTTTCATTGCATTGCTTAATGTCACCGCATGGCCCTGACAAAATGCAGCTTAGACACCTTAACTCACAACCTTGGTCAAAATTAGACAAATCAGTATGACATTGCAAAGCCTGGGTATGAAAATTTCGCTATTCATATGTTTGAAAATAAGCTCCAACATGTAGCATCGACCAGTTCATAGTTACTGGTAAAGCCCGTTTGAGTTTCATCTTTTTACAACTAACAACAATGAGAGCTATGAAACAGAGCAATGAGAAGTTATACATAGATAAATGTTGATATCCAAATTATCCATGTAGTTAAAAATGACAATCACATGCAAGCACCTAACCAATAATCATAGAAGATGTATTATTTGTACACACTTCTAGTTAAGCGGCTGATTTTATTTTGAAGCAAGGGCAGATAGCATAGTAGAATTGTCTCTATAGAATATTCATGAGAAGAACAGACTAAATCATGCAAACCAATAGAAGTATTTTCATGTGGCAATGATTCTGACCGTCAAGAGAGTAGTCTTGGATGCCTTTGCTGAACTTAATTAATCTTCTTCATCATCCATTCTCCCCTGTTTAATTAACAAACTGTTGGGAGATCGACAAATAATAGATATGAAGAGATCGGCCAGTGGAGTGCTTACTGTTGCTAGAAGTACAGATCCAAACTTTTCTAAACAAAACCCAATTCACATATATGTATAAAATGGAGCAAAACAGATCATTCAATCCTAATATGTCATGGTTAATTGGTTACTAATTCAAGATCAAGTGCAACAATAGCATTATTGACCTTTAGATTCGATAATGAAAAAATAATTAGGAAAAGAGTCATGCCTTACCCATCTAACATGCACACAGAACACATTGATGTGGATAGGGAGGAGTTCAGTTTGCACAGTGCAACAAAATCTCACGGACTTAAGGTGGTGCTAGCGATGTTGTGAAAAGATAAAAGCCATGAGTAAGGAAAGTAGTTTGGTGTGTACATGCGAGCAGATCCCAGTTGCAAATAGGCCCTCTTCTTCCTCTGCCACCGCACACCATGCTGAACGGCTTGCCGTGCTCCAGGGTGGAGGAAAAGGAAAAGGTACCGAGAGCTGTACGGCGGGCAGGGGCCAAGATTCTTGGTGGCGCCGCGACGGGGGTGTGTGGACGATCGTTGGTGGTCTGCCGTGCCAAGCGAAGCTCATGCGGGAGCCAGCGATGCACTATGGGCATGCAACGGTTCGTCCACACACGGTGCGAGGGCACAACATCCAACCCCATCTTGGCATCGAGGTTGCTCGCGCCGGAGATCGGTGCCCACAACGGCAACTGGGAAGATGTGATGCGCCGGGAAGTGAGAGACGATGCGTCGGAAAGTGCCGCCAGTTATAAAAGGGATATGCCATTTGTTAGGAATAGAAAACGATGGATTTATTCGGCGACCAGTACTGCAACGCATCAAGTAGTAAATCCCAAGGAAACGGTGGATTGGTTCAGTGACGTCCGGTCGCTTCGGTGATTTGGTGATGGAATTGTGTGGGCGCCAGCTGTAGGGATTATTGATTATGTGGCTGCAAATTAAAATCGGTTTTTGCTTAGATGGGATGGCTGCTGATGTGGACAGCTTGCATGTTGAGATAAATATGGTAGTGGGGATGAACTTCTTATGTATATAGGATTCCGGCGATACGCTTTCAGTGGGAGGAGACGTTCCCGTCGACTACGAGGCGCCTACGGTGACTTCGTAAAATCTCAAGATAATATGCCGGCTCAGTCTCTCGGAGGTGCTCATAGGGGCAGAGTGTGCGTGTGTGCATTCATAGGGATGAGTCTATGCGCGTTTATATGAGGGCTTGCGTCTGTACCGTGTTCAAAAAAAAAATTGTGGCCATGAATCATGGTTCTGCAAGATGTCCTGTTGCTTAGGACATGTTTATATCATTATCTGGACGAACCTGTCTATTTGATCGATCCCCTTGTCGTCCGCCATTTTGAACACCAAAAAACTGACGCGGGTTTCAGTTTCAGATGAACAGACGGTAGTTAGTTGAGTAAAAGAATACGGAGTATATTAGAATTGCTCCTCGTGAACAAATCAAATCACAGTCCTCAGACAGCCTCGAGGTGAATGAATAAACACGATCGACCGTTCCTAATGCTACGAACACAAAACACAGTGCATGGGCAATTGGTACAGTCCAGTGGCACCTCTGATCCTAACCTACACTACACACACGAAGAAGTCACCTCAGACGCGGCACAAAAAATGGATCCACGGCGCCGCGCTACGACGCGAACACGAGGGCTCCGACGACGAGCATCACCAACGCCACGATCTGCCTCCGCACAGCCAACGGCCGCACGGCCGCCGCAGACGCCGCCGCCGCCGCCTTGTGATGAGGGGTCTGCTCCCTGGAAAGGAGTCGAAAACAGTTAACAAAAGACACATGAAAAAGAACCGCAAATGTGTTTGATCAGATGAGGGATCGCGGTTCGGGGGCCGTACTTCTGGTACTTGTGGAGCTGGCCGCAGTAGAGGGCGTTGCGGGGGACGGCCATCTCGGTCTTGTTGGCGCCGTCCTCGGGGTTCACCACCCTGACGTACACCTCCTGCCCGAGGTACCACGAGTCGAGGTTCTGCGACCGCACGTTCCAGAACCCCACGTTGTCCAGCGACACCAGCGCCGCCGTCCAGGCGCCGGGGTACACCTGCACGGTGCTGCGCGCCACGCTGTCGCCCTTGTTGTACGTGCTCCGGCTCGCCTCCGTCCACTCCCCGTAGTCCATCCCGACGACGAACACGGCGTACCCGTCCACGTGGTAGCTCTGCATCCGGGTGTCGTTGTTCTGGAAGATGAGCTCCATGAACCCCCGGTAGGTGCCGTTGATGACGGACCGCGCCACCCGGGGGGCGGCGTCCGGCGCCGGCGGCCGCTCCGGGAAGTCGAGCGTGTAGGCGCCCTCCACGCCGTACGCGTCGGCGAGCCGCAGCGGCGTCTCCGGCGGGACGAAGGACAGCCCGTTGAGCGCCGCCCTAAGCTTCCCGCCGATCTCCACGGGCGCGGCGCTCCGCAGCAGGTACGCCTGCGTCACGTTGATGGAGGAGTAGCGGAAGGAGCCCTGCGGGTTGGGCCGCGCCGCGCCGGCGCTGAGGTTCCAGCGGACGGAGCGCGCCTGGTTCATGGAGAGCGTCTTGTCGTACTGGTCCTGGGGCGGGTCCGGGAGCGGGCCGGACGCCGGGCCGCCGGAGTTGGAGTAGCGGAGGAGGGCGACGCCGGTGACGCGCTGCCAGAGGGACTCGTTGACGATGCGGGCGCTGGCGACGACGTAGTAGTCGGAGCTGGCGTTCTGGTCGGTGGTGAGGAGGAAGGAGTAGGACTGGCCGACGTGGACGTCGAGGCTGCTGTAGTTCTGCTGCGTGGTGTAGGACCCCTCCGTCTCCACCAGCAGCAGGTTGTGCCCCTGGATCCGGAAGTTGAGGCTCGTCGACGTGCCCACGTTGTGCACCCGGATGCGGTACGTCCGACCTGCTCCATGTGCATCATGACCGGATAAATAGAGTATCACAAAAACTGATGAGATTGCAGCGGTGGATGTGCTACATGCAATTTCCAATGGCATCTTTGACGGTTGAGTAAATTCCACCGTTGCATTCGAAGCTAACATAGTCAAAATAATTTAAAAAAAAAAACATAGTCTCAAAATACCTGAAAAAAGACATGATCTCAAAATAAGTGACTCAACTTTAGTAGTTAACACCTAGTGCATAAGGTAACATCTCCGCTCCATATTGGAATATACTCCCTCCGTCTCTAAATATATTTGTCCTTTTAGAGTCTTCAAATGAACTACCACATACGGAGTAGATTCACTCATTTTGCTCCGTACGTAGTCATTTGTTGAAATATCTAGAAAGACAAATAATTAAGAACGGAGGGAGTAGCCGAGTAGGAGTAGAATGCATGCATGCACATTTGAATCGGGATGCTGCCCGTCTGAACCTTGCCGATCTTCTCCAGCATGACGGGCAGCGGATCCAATGGATGACACCCATGCCCGGATCCTGGCGAAGCGGCAAGCCATGGTGACGTGTGCCCTCGCACTAGAGCAAATCGGTGCAGTAAGTGCCCTTACCGGCCTACGCCCGCAATAGGACGACGATGAAGCTGGTGACGCATTCGACATATTAACAACTCTAGCAGCAAGCACATCCTTCTCGACCTGGTGGTCGTGAATGAACTTCCTCCGTAGTCATATTTGATCATGCCAAAATTTGGTAGTCCAATGATATGTATGATTCCTTATACTATGTCCTAATTGATCTATGTGTGTTGATCTATACGAACTATGTGCGTTGTTTTTATGTTGAATGAGATTGTATGGATTTGAGTGTCTACATATGAGGGGGGCGGGTGTGGAGGCGGACAAACGAGGGGTGACCGAGTGCTGTCCACAAGCACATCCGAGTGCGTCTACGCATGTTTAGGGGGTCAAATTAGATCAATCCAGTTGTAGATCCTCTACGACATTGGAGAAGATGATGCTAAGAAGAGAAAATAGCCTAATGCAGGTTGTACAAACTACATATTGCAGTAGAAGGACATAACAAGTCAAACTCACAAAAGGCAAAAAAAGTTCAAGTTAAACTTTTTTAAAAGTGCAATCTAGCAAAACGTCTTGCCAAAAAGTTGCGTTTCCGGCGAACTGAGCTCAATTGGTTAGGTTTCTTGAGGTGAAACTAGCCCGTCAAGGTTCAGGCCTTCTTTGGTTCATAGGATAAGAATTTTATAGGAATAGGAAAATCATAGGAAGTGAGATGACATGCATGTCAATTCCTATAGAGAAAAAGATGTCATTTGGTGCATAAGATAGGATTTTTTTCCATTGAGTCTAGGCTAATGTTTTTCCTTCAAAACGTGAAGGATTGATTCCTATCCTACATAGGGCTTGTTCTGAACCTCTCCAGCTTCTCAAAACTCCACAATTCCAGCTTCTCATCTTGGCTTCTAGCTTCACACAGCGACTTCTCAAAACTCCACAATTCCAGCTTCTCATCTTGGCTTCTAGCTTCACACAGCGACTTCCATCCGTTCCGGAGCAAAATTAGCTTCTCCATCGCCACCTTGGGCTGGCAGCAGCTGCTGGCCTGCCTAGTGCCATATTGGGCCGGCTGGGCACCTAGCCCACATTCGCTACAGGTCGTCTTCAACATTCAGCTCACGCAAAAAAACAAAGTAGACACATAACTAATGCCAATTACCCATCAAATCTGGTGATTTAGACCCCGAATCACATCAACTTGAACATCAAATTTGCTGCCCTATTGGTCGCGAATCCATTCCATCAAAGGGCACAACCTATTGTTCATTAATAGAGGAGATCGAAAATGCATACGCCATGGCCGAATCAGAGCCCTCTGCCCTGCGTTGGAGCATCAGGGGCTTGGGGCACGCTGCTGGGGTGGAACTCGGAGGAGAGGAGGCAGCGGGGATAGTTGCGGTGGCGCCGGCGTCGCAGCTCCGTGCAGACGCGGGGTGGCGGCGGCGCGTAACCCTAGCGCTCGGCCTGGAGAAAGGACGAGAGGAAGAAGTCGTGGGTGAGTGAAGTACCGAACCGTGCAGTTTTTCACTTGGCGGTGGCAAGGGGTGTAATTTACGCGAACTCCACAAAAATTGAGAAGTCGTGGAGCTGGGAATACCCAGCTTCTCCAACTCCGTGAAAAATGCACTGAGGCCCAATATAGCTCACGCGTTCGGCCCAGCTTCACGCGCGGAGTTGGCGGAGCGTGGAGCTGGAGAGGTTCAGACCATAGGAATAGGAATCCATTCTTACAACCTAAAAAGCTTTAAAAGAATTTTTTCTTTGCAAATTCTATCCTATAGAATTTCTATAAAAATCCTACAAACCAAAAGAGGCCTCAGGTTCTATACTTGGCACTTGTTCTCACGTTTTTCTGGGTTTATTTAAGCCTTTCTGGGATGTTCGTTCGGTGGGAGGAAATGTTCCCGCCAGACTATGAGGTCTGGCGCCTGTGGCGACTTCATCAATCTCAAAAAGTGATACCGGCTCAGTCTCGCTAAGGTGATCACATGGGTACTATGTGCGTGGGTGCGTTGATATGTGAGTTTGTATGAGCATATGCATCTGTATTTTTTTTTGCGCCACTCCTATTCTCTTCCTCTTTTCTGGAACCACATTACTCTAATTCTCTGAAACAAGATTCTTATCCAAGGAGAAGACAGAGGTCTGAATAAAAGCGATGCAACTTGCGCAACCTGCTCCTCCACTTCTCAAGTTTTTTTTTTTCTTCTGCCAGGGATTCTTGTCATTGAGCTCTGAATAAAAGTGATGCAAGTTGCCAACCCAGAATGCAAGTAGCAGTAGTGCTATGATGTGGGGCAACGAATTACCGGGATGCACATCGATGGTCTCGTGCTCAATGCCGGCCGGCACAAGGCTGTCGTTGTACCGGTACGGGCCCTTGCCGTTTATCAGCACGCCGTCCGGCATCCCGAGCTCCTTCCCTTCGTCCAGCATCTTCCTCAGATCCTGCAGCGGGGAACCACACGGTCGAGCAATTAAGTCAATGTGGCACTGTATCTCCTTTAAGAAATCAGTGGGGCGCTGTGGTTAACGTGGTGGCCGGAATCTTGTGTTTACGACGACGCACCGTGTGGTTCCTGTTGTACCAGTCGCCGATCAGGATGGTGATGTCGCCGTCGGGGCGGCCGAAGGGCACGGCGATGACGCCGCGGTTGTTGACAACGATGCCGCCGAAGCCGCCGGCGGCGCGCTGCAGGCCGGTGGAGGGGAAGTAGAAGAAGCTGCCGATCTGATCCTTGACCTGGAACTCGTAGGTCCAGTTCCACCCGGACGGGATGGGGCAGTTGGTGCCCAGCACGCCGTCCTGCCAGCAGTTCTTCCGGTGCTGGATCCCGTTCCTGCATGCCGCCGCGCAACACAATTCTCAGTTGCCTGCTTGCTGCGACTTGGGAGGAATTAATGGCGGCACCGCGCGCGCGAGAGAGAGTGTGGGAGTGGGCATGCACCATGTGATTAGGAGGGGCTCGTCGAGGTCGTTGAGCACGTTGACGACGACGTTCCAGTTGGTGGTGATGTTGACGACGGGCCCCGGGAACTTGCCGTTGATGCCTATCACCTACCGGCAACAAGGAAACGAAAGGGATCCTTAAAAACCAGACGGGGGGAAAGTAAACGGAGGACAATGCCTGCGCGACGAGTGATAGTGAAATGGTTTGCTAGCTTGGCTTGCCTGCTGCTTGACGCCGAGGGGCGCCGCGGTGACGTAGGAGACGTCCCAGTCGAAGAAGGCGTAGGGGTCGCCGGCCATTGCCGGCACGGCGGCGAACACCACCAGCGCCAGAAGCCGCCACATTGCGGATCGAGCTCGGCGGTGTTGGGAAATGAGTAGTTGCAGCGGAAGAAGCGACAGAAAGAGCAGGTTCGGTCAGTGGCGCTGCATTGTGGAGAGCAGAGAGTTGGACGGAGACGGACAGGGGAGGACGGAGGCCTCTGGCTCGACAGCCTGTACGCAGAGGGGGAGCGCGTGCGCGTGTATTTCAGGGTGGGTCACAGGGTGGCGTGGCGCCGCGGTGGACGGCGGCTGCGGTGGGGGAGCGTGAGACGTTGCTTGCAGAGCTGCAAATGCGCTCAGACTGAGCGCGGCGGGGGGAGTGGAGCCTGCTCGACCGGTGGCAGCAAAATTTGCTCGGTCTTGTCTTTGGGGTTAGCGCGATACTGGATAGATTCGGTTACCGTTGTTAGTCAAAGCTCACGATGGTCCACACGTATTACGAAGGAGTTTGGCCCCAACCACAAAACATCTGCTTCCAAGTTTGAATTTGGACCCACGAAACGGAACCCTAGTGTGTACAGAAAACTCTACAAAGTTGGTAGCCACGGACTGGAGCTCGGGGAGGGAGCGCCCACGTTGTGATTTGTGAAGCGCGCGCGGCGCTCCAGCACCTGCACATGCGTGGCGTGGGTGGGCAGAGGGCCGCGCGAACGTGGGATCCCATGCGCGCAGCCGCGGCGGCGGTGGACTGGGGCAGCGGTGGCATTGGCTGCGGTCGGTACGCGGTGCGACGGTGGCCCCCACCACCACCCCTCGCGCCATCCTCATCGGCGCCGCGCGGGCACGTGCTTGCATGGGACCGGCTGCACGACAGGGAAGGCTGCCTCTCCGCCGGAATTATCGTCCCGGACAGGCCGGTGATTCTGTTTTCACTGCCGCACGAAGAACTGTTTGTCCTTCTCTGTAATTACTTATCTTCTTTTCGAGCGAAATAAGAGCTGCCAACTCCAGCGCACGATCCTGAATGTACGTCCGTTTGATCCGGATTCTGTTCAGGGCGGCTAATGAGATCATGTCCGGATCTTTTGTTGGATGCGGAGGCCGTGCGTCCAACACGCGGACGTGTCCTTTGACCGCATCATGTCCGCCTTTTTTTTCAAACACAAATATTCAAATAAATCACGTCCATAGTTCATGCCAGCGGCCTTAGTTCACGTCGGCAACACAGTCCGCCTACACGATCTCGCCGGCAATGCGATCAGCCTTTAAAATGAATAGTTTCTTCGCCGGCAACACAGCCAGCCTCCAAAATGAATAGATTTCTCGCTGGCATCCATGTCAGCCTTCAAAAAGAACGACCACGGCCGAACAGACCACCTAATTCAGGCCGTGGCGTCGAACATCTTCTTTTGCCGGGCCTCGAACCAGCTCCTCGTCTTCTCGCTCATCTTGCTCAAGTCCACGCTCATGATCGCTAGCGCCACCTCCTTTGCTTTGATTGCGGCATTGGCAGCCTCAATGTCGAACTGCCTCTGCCTGGTCGCGGCATTGGCGACCTCGATGTCGAGCTGCCTCTGCCGGGACGTCTCCTCCATGTCGATCTTCCTCTTCTTGGCCGCCTCCTCCATCTCAAGCTTCTTCATTTGAAACTCCAAGTATTGCTTCATTTGCTCCTCCTTGCTTTGTCGTTTTTTCTCGTCCCTCACATCCTTTTGAGACATCATGCCGTGCAAAGTCTCATGCAAGGCCGTGAATGACGCATCACGCTTGTCGTCCACCTTGAAGTTGGTCTTGCCCCTCGGCCTCTTCAACGCCTCACCATCTCCCCCTCCGGACAAGATGGGGTCGCGTGCTGGAGTTGTCCTAAGAGCAACTCCAACGCGCTGACCCATTTCGTCTACGGGTGTCCGTTTGAATCACCGCGGATAGAAAAGTCGGTCCAACGTGTCAACCCAAATGTACGCGCATCTTCTTTTCGTTCGTCTGCCGACCTATTCCCGGACCAATTTTGGGCCCGATTTGCATCGGCCCGGACTCGAAAAGGACGTGCGCGTCGCGCATCTACCCCCCGGCCCGCTAGTTGGTGGCACATTGGCCATCATCTGCAACCGCCTCGTTGTCTACGCCGCCCGCCCTGTCGCCGTCGTCGCCCAGTTCTGGTGTCTCTGCCAGCAGTTTGTGCCTCCACACCTTCCCCCACACCGCCACCTCCCATGTCGCCGTCACCACCGCCTCGTCGCTGGGCCACTGTAGCTTCCCACCCCCGCCCCACCAGTCCGACGTCGCCG